ATAAAAATGATTTTTTTAAAAGACTTTTGTAATGGGAAAGTAATTTTATTTATTTATAATTGCAATTAGTTCGCTATACTCTCAACGTTATTAAGTCCTAAAACAGGTTCTTTTGTTTTATTTATTTTTTCAAAAATATTGAACTTGATTTATGATGTCATACCCATTTTTTTTCTATAAACTGCTATCTTATATTTTGGTTTAATCTGCTTTGTTCTAAATTTTATTGTTACAATTTCCAGTGTGTCTCTAATTTTTATAAAATCATTTAAACTGCAGTATGAAGAGTATTTTAAACACAGATACAGACATGCGTTGCGTAAAATAATAAAAATACATAATTAATAAAAATATGGAAATACAAAAAAAAGACTTCTATAGAATAACATTATAATGTTGTAACAAAAACTTGTTTTATTTTTAGCTAAGTAAGTTTAACAATAAAAAATCTATCAATAGAACTATAACTTCATTAAATAAATTTTACTATATAAATTCATTCAATAAACAATTGAAGAAGAAAGATCATTTTGAAGATCAAATGCCTCAATTAAACATAAAATCTCGATAGCGACGTCATCATAAGTTGATGACATATTATCGAGACAATTGTATTGACTTGCAGCATCAAATAAAGCCAAGTCAGCTATAAGATTGTTGTAAGGATTGTTTATGTAGATAATACTTGTAAAAAATAAAATTAGAATTAGAATGAATCCTTTTCATACTCAAAGATACTAAAAAAAATTTTATCCTAAAACTTGAGGTAATTGAAGTTAAATATTGATTATAGTTAAATAATATTGTCTAAAACAACTAAAACGCTACAATAAGGTAAAAAAGAATAAAATATCCTTCACTAAATAATCTTATACACTAACAGCCCTATAGACTTTATTTTAGGGCTTTAATATATCAAAGTATAAGTAAACAGCTTCTGGGTTTTTATTTTTATCTAACTCAGTAAAACGGTTTTTGTAAACAAACCACTAGCAGATTGAGAAAATTAAAAAATGTTAAACGTGAAAGTTTTTGTCATTGGGTTCAAGGTTATGTAAAAAGTTTATTATTAATATAACGAATAATATTAATCCGGAAAACAAGATTTAAAAAAACCTTATTAATTGTTAAAAATAGTTTTGTGAGTGCAAAAAATAGTTCTTATTAACATTTTTGCAAGACTGTAAAAAGGATGTTTTTTTTTACCGCTGTAGAGTGAGAAATAATTTTAGTCACAGAAGCAGGAATTTATTTAACAGTTTTATTTTTTTATTTAAAATAACGGTTTTATTAAAACAGAAGATAAATTGATGTGTTTAATTCAATCAAGATATAATTTAGAAAAAAATTTCATTTCAGTCAAAGATTATTATTGATTGGCGAGTTAAAAATTTTCAATACTAAACAGAGTGTTGCGTTTAGAGACGTCTTTTCTTATGATATAGTAGATCAATTTAAAAGAGTGTTGAGCCTTGCTTTGAACATACAGCAAAAAATTTGTAATTGAGAATAATAAACTGTAGCGTTTTAAAGATTTTTCTCTATAAAAAGTACGTTTCGATATGATAAAAATAATATTTTTATAAAATTTTTGGAATTATTATATTTTATATTTACTATTGAAATAGGCTCGACGTGTAATCTGTAAAACTAAATACGAATAAAAACATCTTTTTTTCTTAAATTTTATTGACAATCTACGAGACAGATGCTAGATGAAGAAACTGCTTTTTTAATAATCGAAACATTTTCATCATGGATCTGTTTCATAGTCAAATGGTGAATCAGCTTAACAAACAAAGGGATTAGGAGGATGCAGAATAACATATGTTTCAAATAGAAATTACTAAAGTAAAATAAATATAAAATTAAAATCAATTGACTCTGCACAAATTTGATTTGTGAAATTTTTAGTGTAATGTTAAAGATTTTGAACAACTTTGATATTTTCTCTGAAATACCATAAATTACTGTTTCTATTAAATATTTTTAGCAACTCAGCTAATCATCTCATTATAGATTTCCTTAAAAACCCTAAGACAAACTTTTAGCACAATTTATGAAATTATTTTATTAGGTATTAGTGGTTTCTTTTGCGATTGAACCAATCTTTTACTAATTAAACATTGATACACTTTCTTATAAATAGATAGATACACTTCCTTATAAATAGTCATTCCATTGTATAACATGGATTTTACTCGCACTTTTTGTTAAAATAGCTATACTAGCATGAAAATTAACACATTTTCTTAAATATCTTCTCTTTCAACTAGACTGAAAGCAACCACCATTAGAGTTAGAAGTCGCTGGAAGTGAAATGATAAAGTTTATAGCAAGATAAAGATTAACAGACAACTTATAAGATTGTGAATTATATGAATTATAAAAACAAGATGAAGAAAACAAAAATGATGCATGCAGCCATTATTTAAAATAGGAGTTAACAGAAAGCAATTAAAAGTGTTAAAGATTAAGAAAACGGTTGATAAAAACAAAAAATTGAAGGAATCAGAAAAACATGATGAAAGACTTTTTTAAAGCACCAATGTTTAAGACAAAAACTAAATAAACAGGAAGAAACAATTGCTGTAAAAGGATAAAATTTTGCTAAATGACGAGTTTTATAATGAGCTTTGGCTGATGAAGCAACTAATAGCTGCTCACTGAAGAAGCAACTATAGTAGTTTTTGTAGAAATAAGAAAGAGAATAAAACTTACAACAATAAGATATTTTACACTTACAACATTTAATTACAATCTGGTTCCTTGTTTAAAAAATAAAAGGCTTTATTAAAAACACCAGTCAAAAAGTATTTTATAGAAGAACAGATAAGAAGTAGAAACTTTAGCAGCTAGTATTAGCAGCTAATATTCTAACTTTAATTTTGCAATGGGTTATACAAAGTTTTCAAGAACCTGGTCAGTAGTGAAGGATAATGTGTTATATGGGTTACACAAAGTTTTCATGGGTCTGGTCAGTAGTGGACTATAGAATAAATAAAAGGACCATGGAATAAAAATTTTTACACTCCAGATATGAAGTGAAGAAGAGTTTTTTCCATCACAGACATTTATTTCTGTGGTTAGAAATGAATGATTTTATAGTTTTAAAAACTTTCCCGTAAACATCACATAAAGCAACTATGGAAAAGATCACCATTGCAGATTATTTTACATACCATTTTTATTAAAAGCCATTCAAATAATAAGAAAATTTGGTGTCACAGATAAAATTTATCATTAGAACACGAGGAACAAAGTCTGTATTGATTTGGAGAGACTAAGTTCGATTTAATATAAAATATTAAAAGTTTTTTAACTAAAATATCAAAGTCTTTGCTATTAATAGCATAAAAAAATTAATTAGTTTGAGTAAGAGGGGTCAGAGTAGTCAACATATTTTTAAAAACTGAAACCACGTATGTCATTTTAATGCAGCCAGAAAAAAAGATTGAGTTTAGAACTTGTTAAGTTTTTTATAGTAAATACAAATTATATTAAAGTTAGACAGTTATAAAGAGATTTCTGAATAAATCTCAGACACGGATTTTGTCCCTGCAATCTGGAAAATAAGTAAGCTCAACAATGTTTTGGGATATCAAGAAAATGAAGTTTAGTAGAACTGAAATAGAATCAATTTTTCAAAATTTATTAGCTACTTACGCTATTAAATCGGTTTTGAAAGAAATAATATCAACACATTAAAATTTGTCTTAGCGTTCAGCATTTTAAAAAAAAATTATGTAAAGAAATACAAAAACATTTCCTATTGTTAAACTTTATTTAACATTAATAAAGAAAAGTTAATAACTGATTTTCTTTCAAGTTAGTTTTCATCTTTTAAAAAGTTTAAGAGTGACAGAAAGCCTTAAAACTAGTTAAATCATCAATACATAATGTTGGCTTAAGTTTAGACTAAATAAAATCACTTTATGGCCAACAATACTTTGGATAATTATGATTGTCAGATTTATTTTCAATAGCTTTGGGTTAAATTCTTAAAACATAACATGTTTTGGCTGTTAAACCCAAAGAAAGTAAGAAAATGTAAAAAGAAAAACAAAAACATTGCCAGAACTAATAATATATATTGTATAGAGTAAAGACACCTATGATGACATGGCGTTTATGATTACAACTTGTTCATATTTTCATAAATATTAGTTTTAGCCCAAATGTTATAAGACCTACATGTATAGGTATTTTATTTATGTTGGTAAAAACAGATACATTTTTCGCAAACTTCTTTTTTAATCAATGAACAAAAGTTTGTGAGTGTTGAAGATGTAGTTCATTTATTTATTTAAGATTATGACTTTATTAAACATTGTGTAGAAATGAAGTTTTTATGCATTTGTTCACTTTAGATCTAAATGGTTACAGATTCCTGTAGTAAATTCTGTTCATAAAGTGTTATGTTTTTTGATAAAATTAAAAAAGACTGCATACAAAAAAGAGCAGTGGAAAATAAAAATTGTAAAAGCAAAAATAATTAAAATAGCTATTAGATGCAAAATTCTTTTATTTTCATCCCGGAACATTGCATTAAAGATTAAAAAAAGAGCAAAGTACTTATTTAAATCTTATAAATTTTTCATTGCGATGAAATATATGAAACGAAGTAAACAACTGCAACTAAAACAAGTTTGGAAGGAAAAAAAGAAATTATTTTCAATTTACTCCTTTAACCTTGAACTTTCTACTCAAAGATAATTATGTTAAAAATTGATGTCAAGAATACTACATTATTTTAATATGATAAAAAAATGGCTTTTTTTATTAGTTTTATTACTTCATAAAAAAAAAGTTTAATAATAAGTAAAAGTTTAATGGTTTACCTAAACTAAAAACTTAAGTAGTTATTCATAAATAGCAAACAAAAGAAAAACGTCTTAAAGTTCTATAAAAAACTAATCTAAATTGAAACAATATAGTTAACAAAGATTATTTATATTTAACAAATTTGAACAAGTTTTTTATGTAGAGGATGATTGTACCTGTTGTTGGAGTTATAGTAATAGTTGTTGAAGTTTCAAATGTAGCTGGTGATATATCAGTAGATGCATTACCAGTAAAAGGTGTTGGAACTTCAGGTGTAGTTGTTGGAGTTACTGCTGTAGTTATTGGAGTTTCAGTGGTAGATGATGAAATTTCGGTTGTAGCTGATGGTGTTTCAGTGGTAGTTGATGGAGTTTCTGTTGTAGTTATTGGAGTTTCAATTGTAGTTGATGATATTTCATTTGTCGTTGATGATGTTTCAGTTGAAACTGGTGGTGTTTCAGTTGTAGTTGAAGGTGTTTCAGTGGTAGTTGATGAAGTTTCTGTTGCAGTTATTAAAGTTTCAGTGGTAGTTGATGGAGTTTCTGTTGTAGTTATTGTAGTTTCAGTGGTAGTTGATGGAGTTTCTGTTGCAGTTATTGAAGTTTTAGTAGTAGTTGATGGAGTTTCTGTTGTAGTTATTGGAGTTTCAGTGGTAGATGATGAAGTTTCGGTTGTAGTTGACGGTAGTTCAGTGGTAGTTGATGGAGTTTCTGTTGTAGTTATTGGAGTTTCAGTGGTAGTTGATGGAGTTTCTGTTGTAGTTATTGGTGTTTCAGTAGTAGTTGATGGAGTTTCTGTTGCAGTTATTGGAGTTTCAGTGGTAGATGATGAAGTTTTGGTTGTAGTTGACGGTAGTTCAGTGGTAGTTGATGGAGTTTCTGTTGTAGTTATAGGAGTTTCAGTGGTAGTTGATGGAGTTTCTGTTGCAGTTATTGGAGTTTCAGTGGTAGATGATGGAGTTTCTGTTGTAGTTATTGGTGTTTCAGTAGTAGTTGATGGAGTTTCTGTTGAAGTTATTGGAGTTTCAGTGGTAGATGATGAAGTTTCGGTTGTAGTTGACGGTAGTTCAGTGGTAGTTGATGGAGTTTCTGTTGTAGTTATAGGAGTTTCAGTGGTAGTTGATGGAGGTTCTGTTGCAGTTATTGGAGTTTCAGTGGTAGATGATGAAGTTTCGGTTGTAGTTGACGGTAGTTCAGTGGTAGTTGATGGCGTTTCTGTTGTAGTTATTGGAGTTTCAGTGGTAGTTGATGGAGTTTCTGTTGCAGTTATTGGAGTTTCAGTGGTCGATGATGAAGTTTCGGTTGTAGTTGACGGTAGTTCAGTGGTAGTTGATGGAGTTTCTGTTGTAGTTATAGGAGTTTCAGTGGTTGTTGATGGAGTTTCTGTTGCAGTTATTGGAGTTTCAGTGGTAGATGATGAAGTTTCGGTTGTAGTTGACGGTAGTTCAGTGGTAGTTGATGGAGTTTCTGTTGTAGTTATTGGAGTTTCAGTGGTAGTTGATGGAGTTTCTGTTGCAGTTATTGGAGTTTCAGTGGTAGATGATGAAGTTTCGGTTGTAGTTGACGGTAGTTCAGTGGTAGTTGATGGAGTTTCTGTTGTAGTTATAGGAGTTTCAGTGGTAGTTGATGGAGTTTCTGTTGCAGTTATTGGAGTTTCAGTGGTAGATGATGAAGTTTCGGTTGTAGTTGACGGTAGTTCAGTGGTAGTTGATAGAGTTTCTGTTGTAGTTATTGGTGTTTCAGTAGTAGTTGATGGAGTTTCTGTTGCAGTTATTGGAGTTTCAGTGGTAGATGATGAAGTTTCGGTTGTAGTTGACGGTAGTTCAGTGGTAGTTGATGGAGTTTCTGTTGTAGTTATAGGAGTTTCAGTGGTAGTTGATGGAGTTTCTGTTGCAGTTATTGGAGTGTCAGTGGTAGTTGATGGAGTTTCTGTTGTAGTTATTGGAGTTTCAGTGGTAGATGATGAAATTTCGGTTGTAGTTGAAGGTATTTCAGTGGTAGTTGATGGAGTTTCTGTTGTAGTTATAGGAGTTTCAGTAGTAGTTGATGGAGTTTCTGTTGTAGTTATTGGAGGTTCAGTGGTAGATGATGAAGTTTCGGTTGTAGTTGATAGTGTTTCAGTTGTTGTTGATGATGTTTCAGTTGAAACTGGTAGTGTTTCAGTTGTTGTTGATGATGTTTCAGTTGTAATTGATGGTGTTTCAGTGGTAGTTAATGGAGTTTCTGTTGCTGTTACTGGAGTTTCAGTAGTAGATGATAAAGTTTCGATTATAGTTGACGGTAATTCAGAGGTAGTTGATGGAGTCTCTGTTGTAGATATTAGAGCTTCAATTGTAGATGATGAAGTTTCGGTTGTAGTAGATAGTGTTTCAGTTGACGTTGATAATGTTTCAGTTGAAACTGGCGGTGTTTCAATTGTCGTTAATGAAATTTCAGTGGCAGTTGATGGAGTTTCTGCTTTAGTTATTAAAGTTTCAGTAGTAGAAGATGAATTTTCGGTTGTAGTTGAAAGTATTTCAGTTGTAGTTGATAGAGTTTCTGAAATGGGTAATGGATTTTCAGTGGTAGATGATGAACTTTCGCTTATAGTTGATGTTGTAATAGTTAAAGTAGTTGATTCTGTTGAAGAACTATCCAAAATTACAGTTTCACTAAAGTTTGATATTGCAACTATATTAGAAGGATTTACGATAGCTACAACAAATGTGAAGTAAATATACCCATTTATTAGAGCTGGATTTTCAGGTGATGAATCTAAAAAAACATTAAAATTTCTAAGTATAATAATTTACATACATGTATATATATATATATATATATATATATATATATATATATATATATATATATATATATATATATATATATATACATATATATATATATATATATTTATATATATATATATACATATATATATATATATATATATATATATATATATACATATATATAAATATATATATATATATATATATATATATATATATATATATATATATATACATACATATATATATATATATATATATACATATATATATATATATATATATATATATATATATATATATATATATATATATATATATATATATATGTATATATATATATATATATATATATATACATATATATATATATATATATATATATATATATATATATATATATATATATACATATATATATATATATATATTTATATATATATATATATATATATATATATATATATATATATGTATATATATATATATATATATATATATATATATATATATATATATGTATATGTATATATATATATATATATATATATATATATATATATATATATATATATATATATATATATATATATATATGTATATATATATATATATATATATATATATATATATATATATATGTATATGTATATATATATATATATATATATATATATATATATATATATATATATATATATATGTATATATATATATATATATATATATATATATATATATATATATATATATATATATATATATATATGTATATGTATATATATATATATATATATATATATATATATATATATATATATATATATATATATATGTATATATATATATATATATATATATATATATATATATATTCTATTATTCTCACCCCCCCTCCCACACACCTACTCCCTAAAAAAAAATTATAATTAAAAAACGATTTATTGATCACAAAATTTATCATATCATGTGTAAATTACAATTTGTAATAAATACTGCACAAACTTCAGTTCAAATTCACTTTTCTAGCTTTTTTGGATGCAAATTCACTAATGATGTCTTCAAAATGAAGGTTGTCGACCACTTTATGTTCAATTGAAACTAAAGCCAGACTAGACAAACGTTCTTGGCCCATATTTGATCTCATGTAGTTTTTTATAAGCTTAAGTTTACTAAAACTTTTTTCACACGTAGCAACTGTTACTGATATGGTAAGGAAGATGCGAGTAGCAACTGTCGTGTTAGGATAAGCATCAGGCAATCAATTTTTATAAATGAGCTGCAAAATGTTAATTGGTCTAGATTTTTCAAAATTTTCAATCATTGCAGCAGCTTGATAAATTTCCATTTCTGACTGAAAATCGGAAGAATCTAAATCTGTCGTGTAAATCTGAGAAAAGTTTTTGGCTTTTGTCTTAAGTTTATCCACTAAACTTTAGATTGCGAACGCCCACATAGAAAGTCGAAATCGGAGGATACAGCAGACATAGACTCAAACCACCATTAAATTTGTGTAATAATGCTGTCAAGCACAAGATTGCACTGTGATTCAAATTCAGTTTCTGCTGTGAGGAGGTAAAAGTAGTCTTCAGCTTCATAAAGTGCTATCCTATTTACTTTGCGCTTTCGCTTGACTGGAAAATCACCTTCAATTCCATTCTGTTTGGCTGTTTCTGGTGGCATCTTTGATAATTTTTTCCACACCAACATCTCTCAAATTCTGAATGGAAGCCTTCAATCATTTCATTTTTTTTTGCTGCGATGTCAATTGAAACATTTTTATGCTGAAGCAATTTGTTTAACCAGTCAATTAATGAAAGAATTTGACACCCAAATACCAACAAACACGAAAAACTGAAATCAATTTGAATAAGAAGATCTTTTGAACTGGATATTGTGACATCATTTGTCATGGGATTGTGGATAATAGACTTCAAAACTTGAAGCACTTCTTTTATTTGATTGTGCAATAGTGCGATTGCTTCTTTTTTGGCAGACCACCTTGTATCACTTTTTTTCTTTAATGAGATGGCCAATGTTTTTATTAGTGTTTCCCATCTTAATGTAAAATTTTAAAAAAAGTTAAAGATGGCTTGAACTTTTGCAAAAAATGTAATCATAAGTGGGGAAACCTCAGCGGCATTGACACCAACAAGATTTAAACTGTTAGCTGCACAAGAAACAAACCTTGCTGACTCACTAAAAGAATGGATGTGAGCTTGGACGTCATTGTATTTTCCAGACATATTGGCTCAATTGTCATAAACTTGGTCGCGGCAATCAGAAATCTTTAGACCGTCTTTCTCTAATTTTTCAGTCATCTCTGTTGCAAGACTTTTTCCGATTTTTTGGTAACATTCAATGAAGTCAACAAAGCTTTCAATTGTACAGGTTTCATCATTAATGTGTACATACCTAATTATTTGGGCCATCTGCTCTTTATGGGAGGAATCTGGAGTGCATTCAAACAAAACCCTATATTTAGCTTCTTTGATGTTTGACAATATTTCGTTTCTGACTTTCTGCCTAAGTAATTCAATCAACTCATTTTGTATTTGAGAAGAAAAGTGACACGTTGTAGTTTTCTTTGCTTTAACAGATGCAATGTGTTCAGCCACCAAAAGTTAATAATTGCTTATTTGCTCAATCAAGTTCAGAAAAATGCTACTGTTTTGCTGACCGATGACTCATGTTGTGCCTCGAAAGGCAAGATTGTTTCTGGCACAAAACAAAATTACATCAACAATCACTTTCAAGATGTCTCTCCACTTTTTCATTTCTCCATTGATAACTCTCGGCAGATCAGAATCCATGGTCTTTCCTTCTTTGAGGTTTTTTTGAGAGTTTTCCAATCAGAATAGCATCTTTGGTGTTCATTGCTGTGTTTAAGAACTCTTGGGTTTAGTTTTTTCAATTCACAAAATTCTTTTGGAAGTTCTGAGAAATTGTTAGTTTTTGCTGTTCAAAATAACAAACAGCAAAAACAAAATAATGAATCTTTTTTGTTGATGTACAGCAACCAATGGCGAACAAATCTTTCACCATTGGGATGAATTGTTTCATACTATTTTGTGCTGAAGTATCGCTTTCTGTTGTCAAAATCATACAGCGTGTATGGAAAAAATGGTCTTCTTTCTTGCTCTGGCGCATGTTGAATCAAAAAGCATCTTATATTGTCCGTTAATTTAGGTCATGTTGCTGGATCCCTGTATTGAAAGTTTTAAGGTTAGCGGATTATCTGATATTTCTGAATGAAGTTCATTGTGATTCATTTCAGCACGGTTAGAAAGCTGTGAATTTCCATACCCTCTTGTTGTTTCTGAACTATTTGTGCAAAGTTCTTCTTGACTTTGGCTAATGAAAATCTCCTCTTTAATTTATTCCAAATTATTATCTGAACTCAAGTCATTAATTTGAACTATTTGAAAATTTTATTTGTTGAACTTTCATGAACATCAATATTATTATCCTCTGAAATAACTTTTTTTTCATCTGCAGAGTTAGTTACCAACCACTTCTTGAAATAATTTTGTAGTTTCTTATCACTTTCTAGGCGCTGTTTTCTTTTCTTCTTAAATTGAGTGCCAGATAATTTTTTGGTGCAATTCATTATAAAAACTTAATGTTCACTATAGTTGATAAACTTACATGTTTTAACTAAGTTTTGAAAATCAATAATGCGTTTTTTCCAATCTAAAAAAGATCTTAATGAAATGTGATTTTTTTTTCTTTTTAAAGATTTTGTAAAAAGATTTAAAGTTATTTCTTATGATAGGACTTTTGAATTAACTGTCCCATTATAAGTAATAACTTTAAATCATTTTACAAAATCGACTATAGAAAACATTAACAGTGTCCATATAGTCTCAAAATATAACAAATATAAATAAAATTGGTTGACAGAATGTGATTATCCTGATGAATTTATACATAAAGCATTCCAAAATGCAAAAACTACATAGACCAGTACCACAAAATAAGTCTAAAGACATATTTCCTTTAGTGACAACATTCTATAGCAATCTCAATTGTCAACCTTTAATTTCAGAAGCTAACCTTTCACTCTAAGTATCTTATGATGAAAGAGTCTAAAATTTTTCTTCTAAAATTCATCCAGCAAAAATGTCATTTGTTACCTTAAATGTTTGTCATGCAAAAAACAAGCCACATATACTGGTAAAAGAAACAATTTAAGATTACGAATAAACAGACATTATTCTAGCTGTAGAACTGGCCTATCAACTGATAGGTTTGACAACCATATTCACACCGGTCAACGTTCCCACAAAAGTTTACTTGAATCTTTTCCCAACTTTTTATTTTCCTTGAGCTTAACAATGAAAGGTTTTGTTGCCATATGAAAAGCATCTGCAGAAACAAAAACATGATACTTTTAACTGATACTTCCTGTATATTATTTGAGTTTGATCCACCACAATAGTAACTCATAGCAACAATATCCATATAAATTATTCTGAAATTATTCTTTTTAATACAAATATCTTGTAAGAATACCAAAACAGTATTACTGATGATTTTTTGAAAGGCCTCTAGTCCTTAAAGTTTAATCAATTATATAAATATAAAAACACTTTATATATATATTATTTATTTTTATATGAACAGCAAAAAATCTCCATAACACAGTCTGGGTTATATTTTTCTTTTTTGCTTCGTCTAACAAAAGAAGACGTATCCATTAATATTTCAAATTAGAACTCATCTGAGAAACACACCTGGGAACAAACCAAAAAAAAAAAAAACTGTTTTTCTTTGGTTTCTTCCCAATTTTTCTTTGAGAGCGATTTGAATGTTTTTACAAAGCAGACATTTTTTTAACAAAGCAGATATTTTTTTGACCTATCTTTAGCTTTTCAAAGTTCAAATATTTTTAGTTAAAATTACTAATTAGTGTAAAAAAAGAGTTATAATCACAAAAACACCAAACAATTTTGCTACAAATATGTTTAAAGGCGCATTTCACATGTTTTTTGCATATTCTAGCATATCAATTTTATTGCCACATTTATTCATAATTGCTACATTTATTTATAAATGTAACAACTTCATAAAAAATATGTAAAAAATTATTACTGATATTAAAATCTCAAAGAATGTTAGAGTAGAAGCAAATTTATATATATATATATATATATATATATATATATATATATATATATATATATATATATATATATATATATATATATATATATATATATAATATATATATATATTTATTAAAAAAGCCGATTAGAAATACTCGTACCTCCAACTTTAAAAATAATGTCACTGTTAGTATAGTTAACTTTTCCAACTATGTATAATCCATTTGTATGGGTTTCTATCTCTTGCAAAGAATAGGAATCTGGTTGTTGATCAAAAGAACATGCAGTTGTGCAATTTCCCAAAATGACATAATAAAAACTAAAGTTTAAAAAAAAACAATATTCCACAAAGACTTCATTTTTAAAACGTTGAACATACATTTTAAAAATTAAGTCTTTGTGGAATAATTTTTGAACATACATTTATTTTGTTAAATATTTACGTTGAACATACATTTATTTTGTTAAATAGGTTTATTAAATAACATCTAAAAGGGACAGCACACTACAAAAATTTTTTTTCCAATATACAGCTTGCTTAATTAACAAATTTATATGTTTTACATGTATTTGTGACATAAGGGAAAGTCGGGTAGCCCCAGACACTTGAGAAAAAATTTATTGTACAAACAAAAAACAAAGTATCAAATAATTTTTCCAAAGTATAAACATTTTTTCAAAGCATAAACATTTTTATAAAATTATAAATTTATAAAATTATAAAAATTACTAATTTTTTCAAAGTATAAACATTTATCATATTTATTGTTATTACGACAACATTATTATTGTTCCAACTTTTTATTATTATTAATACAACAATATTGTTATTAATTCAACAATGTTATTATTAATACAAAAATATTATTATCAAATAGAAACAAAAAAATAGTTGTTGAGTAGCGTACTAATATACAAAAAAAAAAAAAAAAAAAAAAAAAAAAAAAAAGTTAGAATGCTTCAAAATTAGAGGTTAGCCCCGGGCACTTATTTTACTCATGACTTTACTTCTTCTCTAGCCGTTTCACATAAATATAAAGTACAATTAGTTAGCATTGGATTATTCCTAACACCTTTTAAAGAAATGTTTTCTTTAAAAATTGCATCTCATATATAAGAAACGAAAATGAAAATGTCATCATTTAGAAATATAGGCATTAGCTTTTTGCAAATGAATTTAAACACTATAAAACAATTTTTTTCAAATCTTAGGTCTTTTTGTTGAAATTTAATAAATTACTTTTATGGGTTTGTGTATTTTTTTTTTTTTTTCAACATCTTCCCTTCCAATAAGGTTGCAAGCAACCACTATTAGAGTTGGAAGAGAAAAGATGAAGTTATTAGAGCAAAATAAAGATTGACAGGCAGTTTAAAAGAACGCAAATTATGTAGATCAGGAAAACAAGATGAAAGAAACAAATTCTAAAAAACTAATATTTCAGAAAAAAAACTAGATAAATAAGAGTTTTTGGAGCACTTAGGAACATTCACAGTAAAAGGATGAGACTTAATTGAATGACGGTAACACGAGAATGAATTTTAGTAGATGCTAACTCTTTTAAGCAGTGCCCATTATAGTATTTGGAAAAAAAAAATAGAAGCAACATTACAACAATGTAATAGTTGTTGGAGGTTAGCTGAAAGATCAGGTCCAATTATGTATACATTGCATTTTTGTACCTTGTCTAAAAGAGAAAAGGCATAAATGGAAGATCCGCCCCAGATAAGACAACAGCATTACATGCAAGGACGGATTTGAGATTTATAAAAATAAGGAAGAAAATCCGGAATAAGAAAGTGTCGAGCACAAAATTAGAGATGCAGCCTCAACAGATTCTAATTTTGCAATGAATCTGATAGATGATTTCCGAAAAGGATCGGAAGTAAGAGTTAATCCAAAAAGTTGAAGGGTAAATGACTCATTGAGCACATTACCATTCATAAATAAAGGAAAATCTAAATTATTGCGATTACAAATAGCTTTAAAAAAGAGTTTCATCTAAGTTAAAGTTTATCAGCCACTAAGACTCCTATGGTGAGCAGAAGTGAGATCCTTTTTAAGCTCAAATGCCCGTTCCAAGCACTCAGAGAGTGTTGGCTGTTCATCAAAACAAGAATAAATGGAAGTATCATTAGCAAAAAATTCCACCTTATATGTGAAAATATCCAAAAGATTGTTAATGTTAATTTAAAAAAGTATAGAACAAAAGATAGATCCTTGAGGAACCCCTGAAGTAACCGGATATGAAGAAGAGTGCTATCCCTCGAGGACAAATTTTGTTCTACGATTAGTAAGGAAGGATTCAATAATTTTAAAGCTGTTACCTGATACACCATAAGAAGAAAGTTTATGAAGAAGATCAGCATGCCAAACGTTATTAAAACCTTTGCAAATGTCAAGAGCAATAGCCTTAACCTTTTCATCTCTAAAAACCTATCAGTTATTACTGTTAGCAAAACAGCTGTAGAACGAGAAGATTGAAATCAATATTGATGATCAGAAAGTCATTTTTAAGATTCAAGATGACAGAGTACGCGTTTGTTAATTAAAGATTCAAAAACCTTGCTCGTGAACGGAAGAAGACTAATGAGACAGTAGTTAGACTAGTCAGATTGCTCTCCAGAATTTGTGAAATAGGAACATCAGAGTACTTGATTTCCAGCAACCTGGAAATCAAGACTCTGATAAGTACTCGTTTAATAGTTTTGAAAGTGCTGAGATCACTTCTCCAAGACTATAACAAGTATGTTGTCCGGATAACAAGCTGTAGAAGAGTCTAAGCAGGAAATCACTTTAGATACAGAAGCTGAAGTGATACTAATATCAAGCAATGGATCAACCTGTTTATCTGTTATATCAGGTAGAAAGCAACTAGCGGAATTGAAAGATGATATTGATGAAAAGTTCATAGCAAACAATTCAGATTTGTTTTTAGGTGAGTTAAAAAAATCCGAACCATACAAGAAAGGTGGAGTAAAAAATTTGCCCTTATTATTGATACTGTTAAAGATTCTCTAGAAGTCAAAAAAGCCTAACTTTTGAGATGAAATACAAAATTTCATAGCTTGAGAATAGCGGGCTTTGACGTTTTACAAAGCCTTTTTATAATGGCTTCTAGCAATAATAAACAGACGCCTGTTTTTTGGAGGATAGTTTTGCTGATAGATATGGAAGTCATGGTTTTAATTGGAAATTGCAGCAGCACAATATGAGAAAAATTATTGAAAAAAGGCTAGACTTGGAATCTTTAGGAGGGAATAAAAGATTTCATGCTACCTTGAATTCAAGAAGTTATGTAAGAAGCACATTTTTCAGCAGGAAGACGAAAGAATTTTACCCAAGGGCCATAATGATGAAAATCACAAAAAGATTCCCAGTTAGCTTTAAGGTAGTTGTATAAGGTACGATGATAAGGGGATTTTAATGATGAAGAAAAATGAGATAATAGTTTTCGAGAGATCAAACCGTGATCAGTAGCACCAAAGGGTGAATGTGGAGAAACTAAGCACTGACAAGGATTAGAAACAAGACATAAGTTGACTAGATAAGGTAAATGGTTCGGGTTGTTTAGAATGCGAATTCTAAATATGATTGAGTTAGTAATTGAGAAAGGTAAAATTTGTGAGCCTTAACGTTTGCAGAGTTACCGACACTAACAAAAAAGATATTGACAGATGGATAAAGAGAGAGGGTTTGTTTAATTTGATCAAAAATAACATCAAGAAGAGTACAGTTTTAAGATGAAGGAGAGCGATAAAAAACAAAGAGAAAGGCGATAGAGTAAAGTAGTGCTAAACGAAAGCACATAAAAGAGTAGTCTGTGGATTCAAACCAAGTTTCTTGACAAATGGGTGAATTCTTACAAATATAAAGCTCAGGCCAAGCATGGGACTAATTGGTTCTTTGCGTATTAAAGGAATATAACTATCAATACTAAGATCACAATATGAGGCAGATGAACTAAAATTAGTCTCATAAAGAGCAAGTAGGTTTGGCAAACTTTGAAAAGAACCACTAGAGACAGCACAGAGATGATGTCCCTATTGGTTCTTCATTGAGTATTGTCATAGTCAGATTGAATACCTTTTCTAAGATATTGGTCTTATTGACCTCAGTTTTTTCAGAGTGCAAAGTACTATTCACGATTTAGTGATATTTTGCTTTTTTATTTTTATAGTAGATTTATATGTTGCAACTACAATGCAACTAGTAAACATTCTGAAAAAGCAGAATGATTGTATAGAATGATTGTATATATTAAAGATCGTACGCCAAAAGTTCAAAATATAAAAACAAAATATCTAAGAAACGTCGTATACGACTTTGTTATATATAATAAAATGAACATAATAAGAAACGACAAAATCATTATAAAACACATTTAAAATTCTAATAAAATTTAATTTCGATATATAATAAAATAATTATAATAAGATGAAACAACAATAGCATAATAAAACACATATAAAACTCCATAAATATTCTTTTATTCAACCTTAATATATAATAAATAAAATTTATTCAAACGTTACAACAATATCATTCTATAAACATGTGAAGCTCCAATACACTTTTATAGTGTGCTTAGTGCTATACATTATAATAGAGATATAGGTTGTATGCACATTATATGTGTATGTAAGTTTTAATTTATCAAACTGTTTCAAAACTCATACTTTTTTGAAAAAGAAAGTTGGAATTACTTACACGCAGTCTCAGTTCGCGAAAGGATGAAATTATTCTTGTCATCAAGAATTATTTTTGTTATCATGAAATTATTCATGTCATCAATCTTATATAAGTCAGCACATTTTGTTATTAATGTGTATATCAATTAATAATAATCTTTCATAAAAACTATTGTTCTTCATATATTTTATTTAAAATAAGTGTCAAAATTACATGATTAGCTTTTTAGCTCAATATTTGTTCTATTAAAGAAGTTTTCCATTGTTATTTAGAAGTAGAATAAGTTTACATCACCTGCAAATATAATAGTTTCTAGGCTGTTTGCGACATTAGGATGATCGTTCATAGAAACAATAAATAAAAGGAGTGCAAATACGGAACATTGGGGAACATCATATCTAGTTTTTGTTAAGCTTGAGTTGTTATTTTCATATATAACAACACGCTGTTGCCTGATATTAAGATAATCTATTTAACAATTTTAAGGCTTGATTTTTTAAAATGTACTTTTGCATTCTTTAAACAAAATTTCATATTCGACGGTGTAAAACGCCTTCGACAATTAAAGATCGCCAATGTATTTGTCAGTAAAAATCCCCAATATTAATTTTATTTTGAAAAATAATTTACTAATCCTGTTTGTATTTTGGGTTAGCATGTACTGCGAAAAATTAGTATTAGACATTTAAAATATTTTTATCATCTAATTAGAAAAATGTTTAACAAATATTTCTTAATCTTGATTTCCGGAAAAAAAAAATACACATCAGCCGTTTCCTATTATTACTAAACCTCACGAGGCGGCGGAAAATCATTCACATATTCCAAATATATATTCTATTATTAGCAACGTCTTAAATTAACAAAATCCTAATAGGCATCATGGTTTAATTTAAATAATTTTTGTTCTGGAAATAATGTTCTGAGAACAAACAAGAAAAGCTAATATTGTATATAATATGGACTCTTTTAGACAATTTCTTAAACATCGTTCTGTCTTGTGAAATCTTTTTTTTTTTTTCCTGATCTGTTAGGTGTTTTGAAATGTATTAACTTAATATATGATACTATAATACAAAAAAGAAAAAATGAAAAATTAAAGAGAGCAGAAATCCCTTTGTATTAGCATACTTTATCAACAATGCAAACTTATTAGTATTACAAACAAACAAAAAAATAAAAAAATTAAAATATTAAAAAAATTTACTCTATAGCAGTGTTTGTTTTTGAATATTGAGGGATTTTGATTTCAAAATGTGTAGATGCCACATTAACAATATTTGGAGTTAATTCTAAAAAATATATTTACATATTTCATTTGTTAATAAAAAAATATATATTCATACTCATTTTATATAAAAATGTATTCGATATATACACATTAACAATATTTGAACTTATTCTAATATAGTATAATATATATATATGTATATATATATATATATATATATATATATATATATATATATATATATATATATATATATATATATATATATATATATATATATATATATATGTATATATATATATATATGTATATATATATATATATATATATATATATATATATATATATATATATATATATATATATATATATATATATATATATAATTATATATATATATATATATATATATATATATATGTATATATATATATATATATATATATATATATATATATATATATATATATATATATATATATATATATATATATATATATATATATATATATATATATATATATATATATATAAAGATTTCCTAAACGTAGTATGAATGATATGATATAATGAATGATAGATAAGGAAAAAAAAAGATGAAAAAAAAAAATAGAAATGTGTATAAAATGGATTTATTCCTGTTCAAGGGTTTAGCATATAAAGTATGCTTTTTTTATAAAAGTCTACAATTACTAAATGCAAAAAATGTTTTTTCAAATCATGTAAGGAAGGGGGGGGAGGCAATTACCCCTGCCGATCCCCCTATGGATCCGCCCTTGCAACAGATTGACTTTATTATCAAAGATAATAAGTAAACCATTCGACAGATTATTAAAAAAAAATGAAATCAGAACTTGTGTATTTTAAATAAATTTACAATACTCCTATTTCTCATATAATTAGTTAAAATGTGATTTCGATAAGAGTAAAATATTTACTCTAACTTATGTATTTAATATGCGTTTGTTTTATAACGTTCTACATTACCAACTTTGACAATATTTATGATTCATCAGTTTAAATGTCTTGAATATATAATGTTTTCAGAACGTGAAGTTTTTAAAGGAAGGTTGCCTCAAGTATTTCGAATGTTCAAATATATTCTTGTCTTGATTGACTGCAAAGATTTTAGACGTGAGGTTTGGAAAAATTATCCTTTCGTTTTTTCTTTTTATTTTCTATAATACTTCTTATTGCTAAACGTTGCTTTCCTGGCCCAACCACCCAAAAAAGTTTCCTGGCATACCCAACCACCCCAAAAAAGTTTCCTGGCATACCCAACCACCCCAAAAAAGTAAAAACTTACAGACGATGCTTCAAAAAATTTAATATAAGTATATTTTTTGAAGAAGTTTTTGATATCAACTGGGAACTTTCCATTAAAAAAGAAGATGGTGTTATTAAATCCATGAATTTTGTTTTAAAAACACTTGATATATCTTCGACCGACATGCTCCTTACAAAATACTAATCAACCAATAACCTAAACTAATATCAAAACCTTGGATTACGTCTGGAATACTTAAATCTACTTCAGTTAAAAACAAACTTAATAAAAAGTTTATAAAATCAAAAAGTATTTATACGAAAAATAAATAATTTGCAAAGTTTAAATTTTATTGATACAAAATTTCTAATTTATTAAAATTTAGCAAAAAATCATATTTTATTACGTATTTTTATGATAATCTGAACAATATTAAAAATACCTGGAAGTGAATAAAAGAAATCATTAATATTAGACCTTCTACACACAATACATTTTTTAAACTTAAATTGAACAAAAATTTTATCACTGAACACACTGACGTATCTAATATATTTAACAATTTTTTTAGCATTATAAATAACAAACTACTTAGCAAAGCCATACCCCATAATGCATATTTAGTAATTTTCTTAACATTCCAAATGCTAAATTGTTTTTTATTAATCCTGTAGCTGAAAATAAAAAATCTGGTCTCATTACAAACACGCTTAAAACTGTAAAAAGTCTTGGCCCTAATAGCGTAATTACATTCCTCCTTAAACTAGTCTAGTTTTTTCTAAGCTTCTATGTACTGTTATAAATAACTCATTTAAAAGTGGTATTTTCCTAGATATTTTTAAAGTTGTCAAAGTTATTCCAATATTTAAAAAAGACTCTATTATAGATTTCACTAATTAACAATCCCTGCTTTCTAATATACCTAAACTCTTTAAGAAGGCAATGCATAACAGGCTCTTTGCTTTTCTTGAAAAATATAAATGCTTTTACACCCATCAGTATAGATTTTGTGCCAATTATTCCACAACTCATGCTCTCAATTAAATGACTGAACTGTTTAGAAAACCAATCGATGATAAGCATTTTGCATGTGGTGTATTTGTCGATTTACGGAAAGCGTTTGATACAGTAGATCATTCAATTTTGTTGAAAAAATTAGAATATTATGAGATCAAGCGTACCCTTTAAATGGTTTACTACATATTTAAACAATAGAACACAATTTGTTTCTATTAATGACTCAAAATCTACCCTTGTAAAATGTTTGAATGGTGTTCCACTGGATTCAGTATTGGGACCATTGCTTTTCCTTCTTTATATTAATGATTTTCATACATCTATTAAGTTTGTCACTTTTTACCCCTTTCCTGATGATACTAATCTAATTAATAAATCCCTTAAAAAAAATAACAATCACATTAACCGTAATTTTGCCTATCTAGTTCCGTGGCTTCGCCCCAACAAACTCTCATAAAACTAAACTCTTTATCTTTAAATCAAATAAAACAAAAATTTATGTGTTTGTTAAAAGTGGCAAAGTGGCAAAAATATTGAACCTGTTAACTCTATTAAATATCTTAGTATAAAAATTGATTCAATTTTTTCTTTTTTATCCCACTGTAAAGACTTAGCAATGAATCTAACTAGATCTAATGGCATGTTCAAATTTTTTCAGTATGTTAATCTTGAGACATTCTTGAACATATACCATGCTATTTTTGACTCACATTTTAGATATGCATGCCAAGTATGGGGGCAGTCCCATCAACAAGCTTTTATTAGATTATCCCACCTTCAAAACAAGGTTTTAAAAATTATTTATTCTCAGAATAATAAATTTAATCCTAATGTGCTCTACCTAAATTCTATGTGACTATATTCAACTTTAAACTGTCAATTTTATAAAGTTTATTATTGTTATTAAATATCGTGAAAATAGCATTATATTTATTTTAATTAAATATTATTAACATTAGTAGGTGTCTACTTTATATTAGTAAATTTACTATTTGTAAACATCCTTGATTGTAAAATCGTAATTCAGAAATAAATGATTGATTGATGATTGATTGATTGTTGTGTTATTTCAACCATTCATTATCTCTCATGTCACCTCATTCACTCTTTCCTTTTTTGTGCGTTTTTTTTTTTTTTTTTTTTATAAAAATAATAATTTTTTCATTGATTTTTTATTAGTTTACTATTTATATTGTTATTTTTTTTGTATGTTTTTTTATTTTTTTATTTTATTTGTTTATTTTATAAAGGTGTCACTTATATGGCTAGTTTTTAACTATTAAAGCGATACCAAAACTAGTTTTGTAAAATCATAAATAAACTTGTAAGTTTTTCAGTTTTAAATTTTATGTTTTAATAAAAGGATAAAAAAAAATGTAAACACAAGTATTAATTTTTAAGTGTTAATCTCTAAGTATTAATCAAATATATTAGCCATCTAAAAGTAATTATCCTAAAGCACTACGTCACATAAGATATTCTAAAATGTTTTTAACTAAATAAGCGTAAAATGAAAGTTACGATACTTTATGATGTTTGGTGAGTTTGATTAGTAAACATACACTTATACAGTTGAGTGTTGTTATTGATATATTCAAAAATGTAAATTGACGCTTTCAGTTTTTGTTTAATTTTAACATATTCTCACATAAGGTTATTCATTTTTTTTTTTTATTTTTTTAGGAGACGCAAAAGTAACACAAAATACAATAATCTTTCAACACTCAGCATTCACAAAATACGTTCCCGTTAAACTAAATCTGCTTGCCTTGTTTTTATAAAATTTTGAAAAGTGCTTACGGGTGACAGGAATAATGTCGAAAAATTATTTTCGGAATAGTGTCGAATATATTAAAAACGACTTATGTCTACAAAAAAAAAAAGTAAAAGTGTCGCTAATTAATTTAATGAGTAGTGTCGAAAATAAAAAAAGGAATCGTGTCGCAAATGAATTAAATGAATACTGTCGAAAAAAGGAAATAGTGTCGCAAATAGCAAAAGGAATAGTGTCTCGAATAGTAAAATTGGAATAATAATAAAAACATAAAAAAGGAATAGTGTCGCAAATTAATTTAATGAATAATCTCAAAAAAAAAAAAAGGAATAGTGTCGTAAATAATAAAAGGAGTTGTGTGGAAAATAATTAGATCGGAATAGTGTCAAAAACAAACAAAAAAGGTAAATTGTCGCAAATAGTAAAATCGAAATAGTGTCGCAAGTAGTAAAATCGGAATAGTGTAGCAAATAGTAAAAACAGAATAGTGTCGCAAATTGTAATAACGGAATCGTAGTCGGAAAGAATTTCCGAAAAATAGGGTAAACCCAGATAAAAATAGTATAAATCTGAAATTTGGAGAAAGTGCACAGTCTTTAATTTAGCGTGAAAAAAACTCTATAAAAAATATTCCTTTTGCGACAGTTTTAGGGGCAAAAAAGGTCCATTTTGACACTTCTTAAATCTTATAAACTTTATAAGGTACGATAGAATATATTAATTTGATCAATATTTATATAAGAAATATGCCTTATAAGCAATAATTTAAAAAATTATTCACGTTTAAAAGTGTAAAATCTCCTTTCGACGTTTTTGCTTCAATAAACGTTTTGTCGACATCAGTTTGAATAAGTTTTATATATATATATATATATATATATATATATATATATATATATATATATATATATATATATATATATATATATATATATATATATATATAGTTATTATTATTATTATTAATGTTATTATTAATATTATCATTATTACAGTGGTTGGCTATCACATTAGGACAACACGTTTTTTTTTTACAATTTAATTCAAATAGATGGCTCAAACTCACTGATGATAAAAGAACAATGACATTATTTTTTTTAATATTTCTACTCATAGTAATATTTAATGAAAAATCTATCAATTAAATATTTGCCTGTTAGCAACCACCTTTCATAATCAAATTGGTGCATATTGGACAATATAAGGTTATTTTTAGTTGTTAGTTTGATTGATGTTTTAATGTGATCTATTTTAATTTAAAGCATCTGTACTTTATTTAATTAATTTTTTTTTCTGTTAATAATAATTATTAAGTCATTATCTTTAAACAAAAGATTTTAGGTTTTTTTTTCTGTTTATGTCAAGATACCAAAATCTAGTCATTTTTTTAAGTTCTTTATTTTAATTATCACCAATGGGAAAACAATGTGATAAAACACCAACAAAAATTAGTCAAATCAGATATTCTTAGTGAAAAATTGCACAAATTGTAAAGGTTTTTAATCAATCCGTAATGCAAGTAAGAAATAAAATTGATACAGGGGAAAAATAGGGTCCAAGGAGACCATTTTCTAAACACAAAACAACACCATGAGTAGTCTGTATAATCCGAAATATCTGCCTGGAAAACAGAAAAAGACCACAAAATGTATTGACTAAGCTTATCCATGAAGCTGTTATTGTTGTGTCAGACCGAACATTTGCAGAAGGCTGAAAGAAGAGGGATTGATGCCCAGCCAAGAAACCAAAACGAACTTTACTCATGAAAAAAAAAAGACTGGAGTGGGTTCAAAACTATTGTCACTGGTCTGTTAAGGATTGGGAAAAAGTATTTTTATCCGCATTAAAATTCATAAATTAAATTTTATAAATATTCTAACTTAAAACAAGTATTATTTTAAATTTGCATGTCAGATGAGTCAACCTTTCAAGTAATGGTAAACAGCTTTTGTTCGTCGCAGAACAAGTAAAAAGTTTCATCCTAACTGCATTGTGAAAACAGTCAAGCACTAGCTTCAGTAATTATCTTGTTTTTTATTTTTGGGCAAAGAGCAGTGCGTTTCCACAAAGTGGTTGGGACAATGAGGCAGGATCAGTGTAAAGTAATTATGAAGAATTAGTTGCTTCCCCAAACGGCAGATTGGTCTAAAAATGTCAAAAAAAAGTCAAAACATGTCAAAAATCTTACATTTATGCATAATGGTGCAACTTTCCACACAGCAAAAACTGTTATAGGTTATTTAAAACAGAAAAAAGGTTGAAGTATTGCCATGGCCTGATCTTAACTAAAACATTTGAGAAATAGTAAAGCGAGAGATTGTAAACATTTTTTTTACTAACAAGCAAGATCTTATGGAAGAGGTTATCAGGATCTGGTACAATTAACCAGAGTTGAAAAAACAATAAAAAATTAATTGCAAGCATGCCACAACGCATCGAAGCATTTACTTCAAATAATAGCGGTTTTACAAAATAATAATACTGCATATATATTTTATATAATTTATCGTATTAACCAATAAATAGTCAAAATGTTTAATTCTACTTGTTTATTTTTTATCAAGTATAACCTTATGAATAAAAGAATAAGCTTTAAATTGCACCATTATTTATTTATCAACCTCAGTAAAATGTATTTACAAGGTAAAAATACTATATAAGAAAAAAGAGTGTTAAAAAACAGTATCATTTAGGAATGTTTTCGTGTGTTTTTAAATATATATATATATATATATATATATATATATATATATATATATATATATATATATATATATATATATATATATATATATATATATATATATATATATATATATATATATATATATATATATATATATATATATATATATATATTTAAAAACACACGAAAACATTCCTAAATGATACTGTTTTTTAACACTCTTTTTTCTTATATAGTATTTTTACCTTGTAAATACATTTTACTGAGGTTGATAAATAAATAATGGTGCAATTTAAAGCTTATTCTTTTATTCATAAGGTTATACTTGATAAAAAATATATATATATATATTTATATATATATATATATTTTTTATTATTTTTTAAAATATATATATATATATTTATATATATATATATATATATATATTTATGTATAAATACATATATATATAACCTCTATAATTAAAATTATTGGGGTTTCTGGCTTTTTAGAAAAATACAAGTTCTTATTCTATACGATGTACAGGGACAAATGATGACTTTTTTTAAATTGAATTAACTTTTAGAAATTCCAAGACCTACTTAGTTTTTTGATGACTTTTTTTTATTAGTTTTAAGAACTTTTTTTTTGTAGTCTTCGGTATGTTTTATTGGTCCTTCGGCTCTCCGCCCCTACTAAAATGTCACGCACATGTATTACCAAAGAAAAAATTTGTGGCAACAACTTGTTTATGAAAATGTGAACCTTTATTACACTTTAAAGAAAAAACAAACCAAAAGTACTGAAAAACATTTTCTTTTAAATTGAATGCACTTCAAGGGCGGATCCTGACCATGTAGAAAAGGGGAGGGGAATTTTCAGATTATTTAGATTTTGTATATCCAGATTATCTAATAAGGGAGGAGGGCTATATTCAGGTTTAACATTTTTAAAGCAGAAAGTAAGTCTAAGAGAGGGAGGGGGTGATTGCCCTCATGTTCCTTTCTCTATGGATCAGCCCTTGATGCACTAAGAATCTAAGTAATTCACTTTTTGAAGTTTCTATTTTGTATACCCAAGATTCTAATACAAAAAAAGTCATTTTTAATTCATCATAACCACAGCTTAACAAAAATGTAAAGTAAAAGTACAGTAGAATCCCTTTAAGTTGGAATCTCAAGGGTAATAGAAATATAATTCGACTTAACAAATGTCCCAGTTAAGCAAAGCTCTAATTTCGGATTGATGTTGATCTGATGTCGGACTTTTAGAAAATGTCCGACTTATCCTGATAAGTGTCTTAAAAAGTATTAACAAGATATTAACAATATTACCAACGAAATAAGAGACCGATAATCAAAAAAATCCATAAAAATATTCAGATGAATTAAATTTGATGCAATATTTATTAAATTTTCGAACGTTCCAAATTTTGAACTTCCTTTTCCGGTAAGTCTTTTGCCATCTTTTAAAATTTTTCCTTTGTACGATGATTTAAGAGTGCTTAAACGCAATCCAACTTATTTTTGTACATGGCTGATACATTCAATTTTTTCAATTTTATACCCTGGATAAACATTCTTACTTACAATTTCCTGGTAAGACTTACTGTCACCATTACCACAGTATTTTGTATAGCGCAGTTTGTTAAAAACTATCGATCGTCTAAATATTTGAAGAGCTTCAAAAGCTTCCATCGCACCTGCGCTACCTTTATGATTAATTGGGCAAATATGAGACTCAACCCAGTCAGTATATCCTGGTAAATTTTCATTTCTCTTCCAATACTGGCAACCTTTACAAACCTTTATGAGAGTTTGAGTGTCAACACATTTACCACTACTTATAGCTGTAACAATGCCATTGAGAAAAGAAAAACCACGTCGCTGCCATATTCTATCAACGCTTACTGTATTTACATTTTTAATATCAGGGTCACCAATAGTAGAATTACTTGTACGTTGTGCTTGTTCAGCTGTTCTTTTCATTGAATCTTGGGCAAATTTAGTATAAGACAAATACATTTTATAGACAATGTTATTGTATGCTTTTTTTTGGATTGATGGTGGACTGTTTATTATGTTGCAAAATGTTTCGATAGCAGCATGTCCTTTACCGATTTCTCTAAAGGCTATACACATTCTGATATTAATATTAAATGATTTCATGCCTTTTTTTTTCTTCGTTATGATTTTTGATTTGTTTTGATGTAAAAAACTCATTCTCCCATTGACATTTTTTTTCAGAACAAGACAAAACAAGTTGATGTGTTATTTAACTTTAATAATGATTGGCACTTTGGACATGAACCAAAAAGATTTAAAATTGAGCTTAAAACATCAGAATTGAATAAAATGTAACATTCTGGATTTTGCATATTTTTATCTTCAAGAATATTTGAAGCATCAGTAATGGGTTAAAAAGTTTATTTTTATAAATATAATTATAAAAATAAAAAAGTTTATTTTTATAATTATATTTATAAAAATAAACTTTTTAGCAAAAGCTGATGGTTTTTTCGACAGTGTATTTGTTGGAGGTGAAATATTATTTAAAATTGAAGACAATTCTATACTATTTTAAGTAATCTGTAACTCTTTACGTTTTTTGCATCTAGATTTATTTCTTCTATCTGCAGAACCAATTTTATTAGCAATTACTTTTCATTTATGTCAGTAATAAACCTAATCAACACCTTTGTTCGTTCAGACTATGTCATTTACAACATAGAAAAACTAGGTCAAAACCTTTTTCCAATGAGCAAATCCAGTTTTCGCATTTTTAATAAAACCCTGACCCGAATAAAATAAGCCCTTGAATATCTAATTTGTTGTTAATGTTAATAAGTTATATCAAATTTTGCCATAATATGTTAAAAATAATTATTTGATATAACATACATAACAATTATTTATCTATCGCAAATTATTATAATAAAATGAGTTTAAACGGTTTAAATAAATTTAAATAATTCGGGACTTGATTTTGTAAAAAACGCGAAACCTGATTTGCCTATTGGAAAAAAATATCGACCAAAAACTAATAACAAAGAAGCAGCTTCTGGTATTATTGTTAAGAATTTGTAAAAAGTGTTAAACAATAAATGTTTTCTAACCTCAATTAGCCGTTGCTATGAGCGTTGCTAGGGAAAGTAAAATTACCCTGCTAAAATAAGTATGTTTTTTTAGGTCTTAAAAATTTTGCACTTATAAAGATATATTTTTAAATTCTACAACAGTTACTCTTTAAAATAATGCAATTTTTTAAAAATTGATTTTTTCTAATTTTTTTAGTAGTCTACCTTAACCAGGCTTTTTAGTAGTCTACCTTAACCAGGCTATGAGTTGAGCGGATGATTTTATACTAAGTTGATAGAGAAAGTACAAGGGGAATTGAAAACCCATCTGACTTAGAAAAATTCCAATAAATCAGGGTGTGAGCTTATGGGATTTTACAGTATTCATTTTCAAATAATGATGTGACATGATAAAATTTTATAATTTCAATATAATGGGTCTATCGCCCAACTTAAATAACTAAGTCAGGAACCAAAATAGTAAATTCATTATCAAAGATCAATATCGCTTTCTGAAGATTTCTTTGATTTTATTTTTATCTTTTATCATATAAAAAGTCATTTATTTTTAAAAATATGTTTTTTCAAACATCTTCCCTCTTTCAGAAATACGTAAAACTATAAAACCTTTCGAGTTTTAAACAAGTTTTACGGCATTATTAGATTTAAAATTCTTGTATCTCTCTTTATTCATTGCTATCTTAATTATGCTAACATAGCGTGGTACCAATAAAAATAATATTATATATTTAGATAAATAAACTAAATATCTACCAAAGAAATATTTATCATCTTCTAATTTTTATGTTGAAATTAATAAAAAAATTATTCCAAAAATTTTTACCGCTTTATTTGAAATAATTAAACTTTTTTGACTTTTTTGAATTGAACGGGTTTAAAAAATTTTGAAGAATTCAAAATTTTCAATTTTGAGTTCTTCAAATTTTTTTTAAACCGTTCTTTAGTGTATTAGACTTTCGTTTTCTTTTTGGTTGCCAATTAGCCAAAAGACATTTAGTATCATCTTCAGTATGCTCAATAATATGCTTTTGGAATAATGGAAGAAATTTCCAAGATCCTGGATGAGCTGAGCCTAAATTTTTCTTCAGTTTTGAATGTAATTGTTCTGCATTATTGTTAGTTTTGTGGTCAAGGACAAAGACGCTGAATGTCTCAGTTTCAACTTTTGCAATCCAAAAAGAATCTTTTGTCTGTCTTGAAAATTGATTTAGTAAAAGATAGTGGCAATTTCACACTTCTTGAATTTTTGCTGCTGGCAACATGCACAATCCAAGTGCAATCCCCTAACATCTGGGTTGTCACTGTATTCATTTGCTAAATAAAGTTTCCTAATTTTTTTGATGATTGCTTGTCCAAAATGGAAACGATAGCCATTTTAACTTTTAATTCTGGTCAAATTGCGCGTAATGCATTTTGAAGGTCTCTTTTAAAATCACTCATAAAATTGTCAGGTTTGAAAATTCGCGCAAATATATAAAGGTATAGGTTTTGCGTTTTCTTCAAAAATGTGATCCCCAATGCTCAAATTTGCAATATATTTTTCGGGTTGGTACTGATAAACCTAACCAACGTCAGTCATTATCAACTTTGCAGACTTGGATTGAATCATGTCAATGACTACTGCTTCAGTTTCCTCTGTTATAAAAAATTATGCCCGTCATATTAAAAAAAAAATTTTTCTTAAAGTGGATTACCGTAATTAAAGTCAGACATTCAGGACCTACAAATTTTACCTTTTTTTTTTTTTTTTTTTATTAAGTCAATATAAAACGTTTTAAATGCTTTAGTTTTACAACTTTTATTTTTTATTATTTTGTATTACGCTATAGATTAAATGGCTCGGCAATAAGATAACTTGCCTTCTTCTTGCCCTTGCTATTTGTAATTACATATGTTAACAGTATGATTAAATGTATATAGCAAAAAGAATGAATAAAAAAGTTTTGAAAGAATCTTAGTTTTAAAAGAACTAGAAGACAGGGCCAGAATAATCATAAATTTGTGAAAAAAGACCTCTATATTAAATTTTTTTTTTAAAAAAGGTCTTTAAGAAAAAAAATGGAGGAGGGGGGCTCGCAACCCCTTGCTTCCCCACGTGTCGTCGACCCTGAAAAAGGAAAACCTGCTTAAACAACATTGAGTATAAAAACTATATTATTGTGTGATAAACTCAAAAAAAATTACATCTTGATGCTTCAATAATTATATAAATATCTTTACTAACATTATCGGCTAAAGATGGTTTGTTATCTGTATCTGAATCATCACAATTTTTATTAGAAAGTCTTCAAACTACATACATATTGTTATGTTGGGCACATACATAGGGCAGTGATTATCCGGAAAATATTTAAAATGTAGGTTAGACCACGTTTCCACTGAACCCCTCAAACAACAATACTAATTCAATATTACAGGAAAAACAAGTTGTTATCAAACGGTTTATACGAATGATGCAAACTAAACAAATGTTTTATCATTTAAGGAACATTTATTTAAAGTTTATGATAAAAAACTTCAAATTTATGAAGTTTTTGAAGTTTATAATAGAAACTTTATCATAAACTTGCGACTCTATTTCTTTTTTTTTGTTTTCGACACTATTCCTTAAATTCATTTGCGGTACTATTCCGTTTTTTTGTTTTCGGTACTATTCATTAAAATCGTTTGCATTACTATATACTTTTTTATTATTATTTTCGACAATATTTCTTAAATTCATTTGCGACACTATTTCGTTTTTTTGTTTTCGACACTATTCATTAAATCCCTGTGCGACATTATTCCTTTTTCTATTTTCGACACTATTCATAAAATTCATTTGCGATATTATTCCTTATTCTCTTATTCGACAATCAATTATGCGATATCTTGCGACAGGTTGTCGCATGATTGCTTGTCGATGCGATTGTCGTTGCGATTGTCGTTGCGATTGTCGCATGATTGATGTATTTTTGCGATGTTGTATTTTATGGTCATTCCAACATAGCTTTGAAGCATTTTCATCGTTTTATTTTTTTATCGAAGAGTTTCGTATTACCATTCTTAATAGAAGAATGTAAACCTTATTAATGGAGACGTTCAAGCAAAGATTCTATTTAGTGTAACAACTTCTATAACTCCAGCACTACCAACATGATTTGTTGAACAAATCATGTTGGTAGTGCTGGAGTTATGAAAACATGAGTTACTTTCCACTATAGTATAAATCTAAATTATATTTTTCTAGTTCACGCATTTCACACTACTTGCATTGTTAAAATAAAACATCAGTGTCAATGCATTTTCCTTTCCGAAATTACCTTCGATAAAAGAAATTCAATATCTATAGCAGCAGTGAGAACATGAAATCTTTCAGCTATTTTTTTAACAGATAAAAAAAGATCACTTAGTATTAATAAAATACATTCAGATATGAGAGTAACGAGATCACACGAAAGTAAAACATTTCATTTTTTTCCAGACTAAATTGTTTGTGCTCAATTGATTATTTACTATAATATTGTATTGCTTAATTTTACAAAGCAAGTTCTTTTCTTTTTTTTTTTGCCATAATTTATTTTATCTTTTTTCAGAGTCCATTTTGAGTAATAACAGTAATAGTAGTAATAAACTTTCTTAATTGAATATATTCAGCATTTTTTTACTGAAAGATATAAGAATCAATAACGCATTTTGCTTACTCTTAGAAGTTACCTTCTTGCTACCTCTTAGAAGTTGAGAACGATTGTTTTTTTCCAACGTTTAATTTTATAAACTATATTTTTTAAACTAAATAAATTTTTTTTACTAAATAAAATTTAAATATCTACTTTTGTTTATAAGTAAAAGGAGATATTTAAAAACAGATATCAAAGATAGAAAAGCGAAGCAGTGATGAAAAAAGGCATTATTTTTCGTTTAGGTTTTATTCCTGAGATTTATTGAAAAAAGCGTTGCTAAGGCGGTTGCTAAGGCGGTTGCTCTGGTCTCAGAACTTAAAAACCTATTTCTAAAAATGTATCTTATGCTTAAATCCAAAACTCAAATCAAACTATTCCTATTTAAAAAAATCAAATTAAATATTTTTGAACAATTTTGAGTCTAAAAAGATTTTAGTAAATTTTTTTCTTCTTGTGAATCAATGTAAAATTTATTTAAGCACTGATTAAAAATTTTTTTTATCATTTACCAAATGGGTTGCTGAGCTTTTGATATCGGTTGAATGAAATTTTCTTGATTTATTTGCCTCTGGAAGAGCTGTGATACTAAGACACTCTTTCACAGGAATGATGTTTACAAAAGATCAAGTTCTCTGTTGGCAAAACCAGTATGAAGTGGGAGATGCTGATGGAACCTTAGAAAGTTCTTATGTCACCGCTGGACATTATTTTATGCCTCGTCAGGCACTTTATTATTGCTCTAGACAAAGAGTCGGCACCATTTAAGTGCTTTAAAGAAATTTTTTTTGACCCACAAATATTATAAAACATAGACGTTATTGAATCAATATTGTTTTACGGTAAATTGTATTTTAAATTAACACAAAGCATTCTCACTACTAAAGTTAAGATGGGTATTGTATGCATTGAACAATGGAATTCTTGGTCTCGATAATTTCAGCAATCAAAACAAAATTAATTGAGATTTTAAGACAATTGCAAAAAACGTTATGTTTTAAGACTTTGAAATTAATTACTGAGGGAATATCTTTTATGTGTTCCATTGATGAAAAAAACCTTAAGCTCAGTATACTTTTGACAACAAACATAAAAATTATCTCAGTTTTTGGAGAACTTATGAAACCTCAGCTTGATTGCAAAATATTTTGGCGCCATTATTGATAACTTCCAATTGAACTTATGTATAAGTTCAATCGTAAATCTTAAAGGCATATCAACTTGTGAACATATGTCTTAAACACATCTTTACACTGACCTTTTTATGTTTATCTGGGTTTTACGTTTATTAGGGTTTATTGCGTGCACTCAATGTATCCAGATAAACTTAAAAATGTTTAGTGTGAAGCTGCATTTACGACATATGTAACACATTTTAGATGGTGAATTTTATAATTGACTTCTCCAGGTTTTAAGAGAAAGCCTTTCCTAAAGAAAACCACTTTACTAAAAAAACTCCAAAAATGTTTTTAGACAACGCTTTACAAGAAAACTTTCTTGAAAACTCGCAAACGAAAATTCAATAAAAAAACTTGCTTAATTCATTGACCTTTTTACCATTTTTATGTGGCGAAAAATCTTCAAAATATATTTAGAGTTTTGTAACTATTTTATCAGTTATTTTGTTCTTCATATCTCACTATTTTAAAAAAAAGTTCATCCTTTCTATAATCTGTATTTAGATGCTTTTGTATTGATGACATGGATCATAGATAGATTTACTCTAATAGTTTAATAACTTAATAATAATTTTACAAAAAGTTGTAACTGTTGTGTCCATCAAAGGTATGATAATTAGGGCATTGCAATGATAATAACAAGTTATAAATATAAAATAATTACAGTTACAAAAACTACTAATTGCAGTAAAATAGTTGTAAATAAAACAACACAAAGCAAACTCACAAACTTATATACTTTTAAAGCTTTTTGGGAACATGTTTATTGGTTAGTCTAATCCATGCAATAACTACCAAACAGCCAACAGTTGTTTTAACTTTGTGAAGTATATTTATATATCAACATTGTGAAATATATAAATAATCTTAACGTTGTGAAACATAAGTTTATTAAAAAAAATGTTTTTAATTATTTTATCGTAATATAATTTTCACATATATATATATATATATAATTAATATTTGAAAAAACTTACCTGAAACGACATCTTGATTACTTTCAACAAATAAAGCAATAAGTATACATATTTTTCCAAACATTTTTCTTTAGCATTATCTGAAAAAATAGGAATGCTAATTAACGCTGAAAAATTACTTGTGAAACGTTAAATAACGTGTGAAGATTCGCAATAAAAAAAACTAAATGCATATAGAAAGTTTGGTCCTGTTTTAATATTATATGTATCAGATACTTTTAATACTGATATTTTTACTTTTAATAAAGCAAAAATATATGCAAAAAAGTGCTTTCTAATATCATTTTGGAAAAAAATGTGTTTACACCTAATACTGTTTATTATCTAAAATATTTTAAATTGTTTTTGATAACGAATGACTCATATTTTATTGCAAGTAG